GTATTTTTCTTATCCTAAATATTTTCCTCTATCAATTCTCACCGATCATCTTCTCGCCAAATAGAAGAAAGAATAAAAACAAATTAAACGTTAGTCTCCTCCTTCATCAACATAGTCCGGTCCTCCATCATCATCATCATCATCAATTATAGCTCGCAGACGAGGGTCGATGAGTATAGGTGTTTCGGATGTGCGCTGAGTATTTCAACTTTTAATTAGCCCGGGTAAGATTTATGTTCACTAAAATTTCTTTTGCCCCAAATCAAAAATCACTTTTCCTATGTGTTTATGTGATTCATGATTTTAATGAATATGTGATATTTAATGTGAAAAGTTATTTGATTATATTATGCGAAATAGATATATGTGTTTAGATGTTTTGAAAACCCTGCATATGTGATATGGTGATTTTGTGGTGATTAAGAAGGATAAATTTTACACAATTTGATCATTGCCTGAGAAAATTCCGACTGGCGCAGCTGGAAAGAAAAATTTGTGAAAATTGCTTCCTAAACTTATTTTTGCTTGAAATTTTTTATGGAGAACCTAGACTTGTTATAATTAATGTTTGTATAAATTTTTGGGTAAAAATATGTTTCGATTTTTCCAGAAAAATTTCGTAAAGTGGAGGCAGTGTGCTGCCAGTTCAATTTCTGTCTGGCGCAGTGTTGAGAAATAATTCGGGAAAAATACTTTTAGACCTTGGATTGATTTGAAACTTTTTTGTGTATAATCTAGACTCACTGTACCTTGTATTTGGAAAATTTCAAGTGAAAATGTGTTACCGATTTTTCTCAGTAAATTCTGCAATTCAGGTCATAGTTTCTGAAAATTTTTGATAGTTTCTTATTTGAGATATTGAGAAGTTGCTTGCTTGTGAAATATCATTACTGTTATCATTTTTATAAATATGGAGAGTTGTGTTCATAATTATTAGGTGTGGAATACGCTAATCTGTGTTATATCTATGAGGTTAATAGGACGTTTGGAAATACATTTTTGGAAATATTGGTACAATGGTTATAGATTCAGGTGTAAAGTTGAAAGTATTATTTGGGTGGAAAGATTTTGCTTTAAGTGGTGAACTTTTGAGGTTTTAGATATATATATTTTGTCAATGGAAAGTGGTGCCATCTAGTGTTTTTGTGAAGTGAGCAGTGATGTAAAAGCTGACTCACTAGGGAGCCTAAAAACTCTCTGTTTTGTGGAGTGAGCAGTTGAGATATACTGACTCACTAGGGGGTTTTATATTAACTTCCCTGTTGTTTTGAGGAGTGAGCAGTGATGTAAAAGCTGACTCACTAGGGGGCCGAGAAAACTCCCTGTTCATGGAAAATATATTTTTGAGAATTTGAAAATCCTCCATTTGGTACCCATTTCTTCTTGGCAATTTATATATATCAATTGTGGTTGGTTTTGAGAAATTCAAATGTATTGTTGGAAGATGTTCTCTTGGAAAGATATAAATTGAGAGGTTGAAATTCTCTCTTTGTTAATATATTCTGAGATCATTTTGAGAGATTGAAATTCTCTCTTTGGTTATTATTTTGAGAGTTTGGAAACTCTATTTGGTTATTATTGGAAATTATTTTGGTGATTATATTATGATTATGATTTAAAGAAATATTGTGTAATGAGGATGTTATGAAATGTTTTGAGGATATGGTTATATGGAAAAGTTGAGATAAAGGTCATATGGAATCTTGAGGAAAGAATATTGGTTGAATGATTTTGGGATTATGGATAGGCAATGCCTTAGTTGACCATCTAGAAGTTTTTGTGGATATTTTGTTTTATGGACTTGAATGTGTGATTTTCTCAACATTTACATTTTAAATGGTTAAAGTTAAAGATTATTGATATTGATGAGATGGTAAAATGTTTAAGGGGTTATTGTATGTGCAATTACATGCTCCTACATGTTACATGCTATGTGTAAAATGTTTTACGGGGTGAAGTAGATCTTACAAGCTTTATGCTGAATTTGTGTGTTTCCTTGTGCTCTGGTTGCAGGTGTCTTGCATGAGCATTGGATAAGAGAGCGAGCAAACCAGCTAGAGATATCATTTATTAGTTAGACATTTGAATTGTTAGTTATTTTTGTACTAATACATATCTTGAGTTGTTTATTGCAAGTTGTAAATTTAGCCTTAGCACTTAGGTTGTTGGTTGCCTAAGTGTGGCGGTAACACCCATTTTCTTTTGATTAGTTAATGCTTCCGCTATGAGTTTAGTAAATTGTAAATTAAGAAAAAGAAATTGAAGGAAATTTTGGATATGAAAATTGGGGTGTTACAATATACGACACCTTCCACTCCTAAATCATCATCTTCGCAGTCGACACTCTCATTCTTTTCATTCCCAGTTTCGGCTTCGACACAAGAGAACTCCTAGGCGTCAATTTTTCTTTCATCTAGTGTCATCTATTCGTAAGTTTAATTATATGTTTGTGGTAAAATTTCTATGATTATATGCTTATGTGATTTTTTTGTGTTTATATGAACATTCAATTTGGTTAGAAGGAGAGTTTGCAGAGGAGCAAACGTAGGACTCGGGTTAAGTGTGTGATTTGTTTTACGTATCCAGGTAAGTGCTTATGTCTATCAAAATTTACTTTTACTCTGTAAAGATGTGTATCTTTTTCTTGGTTTTGTGGGCATATGAGATATGGTGATTTTGTGGTGATTAAAAAGGATAAATTTTACGGAATTTGATTATTGCCTGTGAAAATTCTGACTGGCACAACTGGAAAGAAAAATTCGTGAAAATTGCTTCCTAAACTTCTTTTTGCTAGAAAGTTTTTATGGAGAACCTATACTTGTTATATTTGATGTTTATAAAAAGTTTTGGTTAAAAATATGTTTCGGTTTTTCCAGAAAAATTTCGTAAAGTTGAGGCAGTGTACTGCCAGTTTAGTTTCTGCCTGGCGCAGTGTTGGGAAATATTTCGGGAAAAATACTTATAGACCTTGAATTGGCATGAAAACGTTTGTGTGTAGTCTAGACCCTTTTTACTACTTATCTGGAAAATTTCATGGGAAAATGTGTTACCGTTTTTTCTCAGTAAATTCTGCAATTCAGGTCATCGTTTCTGGAATTTTCTGTCAGTTTCTTATTTGAGATATTGAGAATTTGTTTGCTTGTGAAATATCATTACTCTTAACACTTTTTATAAATATGGAGAATAAAAAAGTTTTGTTGACTTGTATAGTGTTCAATTATGAATTCTGGATTGACTCAGTTTGTTGAGGAGTGAACAGTTGAAATATACTAATTCACTAGGGAGTCTAAAAAGTCCCTGTTATTTTGAGGAGTGAGCAGTAAAAACATATCCTGTCTCACTAGGACTTTTTGTCCTGTTCTTTTGAGGAGTGGTCAGCGGAGTCTACCACTAGGGTATTTACCCTGTTGAGTAGTAGTCAGTAGAAACGTATCCTGGCTACTAGGACTAGTTACTAACCATTGGGCTTGGAAATCCATTGGGGATGTGCACACTTAAGGTATTAATTTTGTTCCACTTAAATGAGATTTTTGTGTAGTATTCAGTAGAGTGAGTACTGTTCACTAGGGCTTATTAAATAAGACCCTGCCCATTGTTTGGTTGGTTTAAATGGGATTTTGCGTAGTGTTCGGTGGAGTGATCACCGTTCACTAGGGCTTAAGTAATTAAGACCCTGCCCATTATTTGGTTTGATATTCATCTATACTTCCTAAAAATGATTTCTTTTGGAAACGTGTAATTTGGAAAAGAATTGATTTGAAATCTTAAGTTGAGAAACCTAAATCTCTATGTGGAGTGTGATGTGAAGTAAGCGTTAAGTGGAAGTTGAGAATTGTTAAGCCTTGTGGCTAATTGTTTTGGATTGTGAATATATACTATATTAAACCCGTTTTCCAGGGTAGAGTAAACCTTACTTAGCAATGTTTTGCTAATTTTATTGTTTCGTGTTTCTCTTGTTTGTGATTTGTGCAGGTGAATGAGTAAGTTGTTGGCTGAGAGCGCGCATTAGAACTTAGTAGCTGTTTTGTTTATGATGTTTTGGAGTTATTGATTCGTATTGTATTTCTTTAGTTTTGGATTAAGTTGTGATTGAATGTTATAGTTTAGAGCCTTACATCTAGTCAGTGTTGGTCTATTGGATTAGATGTGGCGGTTTCACCCTCATTTATTATTATTAAGGACTTAAAGTTATTTTGTAAGTTGAATTATTACTTAGTTCTAAACGGTGGTATGCGTACTTCAGGAATTCGATTCAAGGCAGTTTCTATTTTTATTGGTCTATTTATAGTAGGCGTTGAGAATTAAATTTGGGGGTGTTACAAATTGGTATCAGAGCCTAGGTTAAGCCATGATATAAAAGCCTAGGTTACGAGCCTTTATAAATAAGAAACTAAGTTGGAATGTTTAAGATGTGAAATCCTGAGTATAGGAAGTAGGATTGACTAAGGACCTAAAATAAATAAATAAATAATAAATAAATAAATTAAGTGAAGGGGTATTCAAGCTAAATGTTAGAGCCCTACGATTTTAAGACCTTCCTAGGTGATAGGGTAAATCAAAATGAAGAGACCTAGGAAACCGCGGTGAGAATGTGAGTTTCACTTCATTTGCCTTTCTAATTGGAAATGTATGGCCAGAATTATTTGTGTTTTGATTGGTACCCGCATGTGAAAAGAGGGTATTTTGAAGATATGATTCCTTGATGGAATTTGGTATAAGTGTTCAATGTTCTTGTGACTGTGTTAATTTGGAAATCTACTTATCATTAGTATGAGAATTTTGAAAAACAAAACAGTGGCTATTGCACCCTGGAAGTGTGCATCTTTCTGGTGAGTCTTTGGTTGCTAGACAAGTGGTTATTTTTTTTTATGATTTATTAAAGATATGAGCAAGAATTAGAAGAAACTTGAAAAATTTGTGTATGCTTTGCTCCTATGTGCTTATTTGCATCTAAAATTTTTAGGGTAAGAAATACCCTTAGATGAGTGTTAGTGACAAGAATGCCTATTTTTGTCCAGAGAGTCACTATGCCGCCCAGAAGGGACGTTGAGAACCAAGGTTCCCAAGGAAATAATGCCCCTACTAATGCTCAGCTTGCCGAGGGATTGCAACAGCTGACTCAGTTGACCCAAGTCTTGGGAAATGCATTGCTTAACAATCAAAATGGGAACGACGTGGCTAAACTAGTGGCATCACGCCATCCTCCAAACTTCTTAGGGCAAGAGGATCCTGTCATCATGGAAGGCTGGATTCGCACATTTGATAAGTTGTTTAATGCCATAAACTGCCCAATGGAACAAAGAGTGGACACGGCTACATTTTACCTTCAGCAGGAGGCTGATAATTGGTGGGCTAGTGTTGGACCAGAACTACGCCAGCAACTCGACTTTGGTTGGGAGAATTTCAAAGAGCAAATGAGAGAAAGGTTCTACCCAGCACATGTCAAGATGGCTAAATATGATGAATTCCTGCATCTTAGACAGGGAAACATGACGGTGCAAGAGTATTATGCTAAGTTCTTGGGACTAGCACAGTTTGCACCTGCTCTAGTTCCAGATGAGCCTAGTAAGGCTGAGAAATTTGTTAACGGATTAAATTTTGAGACACGGAAGATTTTATCTGCGATGACATTCCCTACCCTGTTCGCGGCGTATAACAGTGCAGCCAAGCATTATCGGGTGCAAGAGATTCAGAACGACGCGATTGGGAGGAACAAAAGGAAGATAGATGAAGATGTCCAGCAAGAGAACAGGCGACCTAAGTTTAACCCTGTGGAGCCACACCAGAATTTTCAAAGGAGTGGTAATAATAACAATAATGGGAGGAATCGACAAAGCCAAGGCCAGGGGTTTGTAAGAAGGAATCAAATGGGGGACCGACACTTTAATTGCAAGATATGCAAGAGGGACCACCCTGGAACAGATTGTCAGGGAAATTTGGTAAAATGTTATAATTGCAACAAGATGGGACACAGAGCCTATGAATGTTATGCTAAGAAGAATGGAGATACTCAAAATCAGTGGCAGAACATGAATAGAAGTAACCAGAATGGGAGTAGAACCGGCAATCCTGTAAATAGAAGTGGAAATGGTAATGGAAATCACAATAACGGCTACAAGAATGGGAACGGCAACAACTATAACTAGAATAGAAATGGTGGGAATGGCAACAACTATAACCAGAATAGAAATGGTGGCAATGGGCAAGGACGAATCCTTGTTATGAACAGAGCCCAAGCAAAAGCAAATGATGTGGTTTCAGATATATTCTTAGTGAATTCTATACCTGCGTACGTATTGTTTGACTCGGGTGCGTCAAATTCATTTATATCTTCAACTTTTGTTAACAAACTGGGGATAGAGCCTACCTCTAAGATAAAGATAAATGCAAAGATAGCATTGGGTAGAATGATGACTTGTGAGGATATGTATGAAAACCTGTCAATTGTTATTTCCGAAACAAACTTTCCTGGTGACTTAATACAGTTTGAATTAGAGGATATAGATGTGGTGTTAGGAATGGATTGGTTCGGCAAGTTTAAGGCCAAAATCATATGCGATGAACAAAAGGTGATTTTAAGAGGCACCAATGGGAAACGGGTGTCATACAAGAGAACTACAAGCAAACCAGAGGTGAAATTGGTGACCATGTAGAGGATGAAGAAGTATGTGGGAAAAGGCCATGAATCTTATTGGTGTATGATCAAAGATTTAAACATAGAGGAGGAGGCGATCAACAAAATTCCAGTGGTAAGAGAATTCCCAGATATATTTCCGGAGGAGATTCCCGGGATACCGCCTGACCGAGAGGTGGAATTCTCGATTGATTTGGTACCAGGAACCGAACCAATTTCGAAGACACCATATAGAATGGCACCCAAAGAGATGCAAGAACTAAAGGAGCAGATACAAGAATTATTGGACAAAGGCTATAGATTCAGGTGTAAAGTTGAAAGTATTATTTGGGTGGAAAGATTTTGCTTTAAGTGGTGAACTTTTGAGGTTTTAGATATATATATTTTGTCAATGGAAAGTGGTGCCATCTGGTGTTTTTGTGAAGTGAGCGGTTGGAATATACCGACTCACTAGGGAGCCTAAAAACTCTCTGTTTTGTGGAGTGAGCAGTTGAGATATACTGACTCACTAGGGGTTTTATATTAACTTCCCTGTTGTTTTGAGGAGTGAGCAGTGATGTAAAAGCTGACTCACTAGGGAGTCGTGAAAACTCCCTGTTTATGAAAATCTATTTTTTGAGAATTTGAAAATCCTCCATTCGGTACCCATTTCTTCTTGGCAATTTATATATATCAAGTGTGATTGATTTTGAGAAATTTAAATGTATTATTGGAAGATGTTCTCTTGGAAAGAGATAAATTGAGAGATTGGAATTCTCTCTTTGGTAATACTATTTTGAGGTTATGTTAAGAGATTGAAATGATCTCTTTGGTTATTATTTTGAGAGTTTGGAAACTTTATTTGGTTATTATTGGAAATTATTTTGGTGATTATATTATGATTATGATTTAAGGAATTGAGTAATGAGGATGTTATGAAATGTTTTGAGGTTATGGGTGTATGGAAATGTTGATAAAGGTTATATGGGAATCTTGAGGAAAGAATAATGGTTGAATGATTTTTGGATTATGGATAGGCAATGACTTAGTCGTTTTGCTAGAAGTTGTTATGGATATTTTTGTATTTGGATGTGTGATTTCCTCAATATGTATTTTAAATGGTTAAAATTAAAGATTATTGGTTTGTTGATGAGAATAAAAATGTTTAAGGGGTCATTCTAGATGCAAACTATCTGCTCCTATGTGTTGCATGCTATGTGCAAAATATTTTACGGGGTGAAGTAGATCTTACAAGCTTAATGCTGAATTTGTGTGTTTCTTTGTTTTCTATTCTTTAATTGTTTTTGCAGGAACTCTTGCATGAGCATTGGACATGAGAATGAGTGAACCACCTAGAGATATCATTTATTAGTTAGACATTTGAATTGTTAGTTGTTTTTGTACTAATACATATTTTGAGTTGTTTATTGTAAATTGTAAATTTAGCCTTAGCGTTTGGGTATAGAGAAATACCTGAGCGTGGCGGTAGCACTCTCCTTTTCTTTTAGTTTTATTTTCGCTTCCGCAGTCACATTCGTTTTCAAAAAAAAAAATTGTATGTATTTTCGACAGTTCATGTAGTTTAAGAAATGGGGGTGTTACAAGAACTGAAGGAGCAGATACAAGGATTATTGGACAAAGGCTACATAAGGCATAGTGTTTCGCCATGGGGTGCTCCAGTTTTATTTGTAAAGAAAAAGGATGGTGGACTAAGATTGTGTATCGATTATAGAGAATTAAACCAAGTAACCATCAAGAATAAATATCCTTTACCCCTCATTGATGATTTGTTTGATCAGCTGAAAGGAGCAGGGACTTTCTCGAAGATAGATTTGCGGTCGGGTTATCATCAACTAAAGGTGGTTGAGAAAGACATACCCAAAACGGCATTTCGTACGAGGTACGGGCACTATGAGTTTACTGTAATGCCGTTTGGATTAACAAATGCACCTGCCGTATTCATGGACATAATGAACAGAGTTTTTCGACCATACTTGGACAAGTTTGTAGTGGTATTCATCGATGACATTTTGATATACTCTAAAAGTCTTGAAGAACATGAAGAACACTTGAGGAAGGTATTACAGACTTTGCGAGATAACCAGTTTTATGCAAAGTTGTCTAAGTGTGACTTTTGGAAGAGCAATGTAGCATTTTTAGGTCATATTGTTACAAAGGAAGGAGTATCGGTGGACCGAGCTAAGGTGAAAGCTGTAATGGAATTGCTTGTACCAACTACAGTCACAGAAGTTAGAAGTTTCTTGGGGTTGGCAGGGTACTATAGGAGGTTTATACAAGATTTTTCAAAGGTAGCAAGGCCCTTGACTAATCTAATGAAGAAAACCACGAAATTTTTGTGGGACAAAGATTGTGAAAATGCTTTTCAAGAATTGAAGCAGAGGTTGACAACGGCACCAGTGTTGACACTACCTTCTGGAACTGAAGGATTTGAAGTATATAGTGATGCTTCAAAGAAAGGGCTAGGATGTGTGTTGATGCAGAATGGGAAAGTGGTAGCTTATGCGTCAAGGCAATTGAAGAATCATGAAGTAAATTACCCTACCCACGATTTGGAGCTAGCAGCAGTGGTGTTTGCCTTGAAAATTTGGCGACACTATCTCTACGGAGTACAGTGTAAAATTTACACAAATCATAAGAGTTTAAACTACATTTTTACGCAGAAGGACTTGAATATGAGACTGCGAAGATGGTTAGAGCTTATCAAGGATTATGACTTAGTGATACAGTACCATGAGGGAAAGCAAATGTAGTAGCAGATGCACTAAGTAGAAAATTGGGACATTCACTTAATGCAACATGGGTATTACAAGACGAGTTGTGCAAGGATTTTCAAAAGCTGGATTTAGAAGTGAAAGAGTTTGGAGAAGTTGAGGCTGAGATTAAATTGTATAGTATGTCTATCACTCCGACTCTATTTGATGAGATAAGGAAGGGACAACCTGGTGATGTTAAGCTTGAAAGAGTGAGGGCAAAGATGGTAAATGCTAGGAATGGACCCTTTGAGCTGCATGAAGATGGGAGTATTCGATATAAAGGACGGTGGTGTATCCCGATGGTATGTGAAGGAGTAAATAGGCAAATCATGGAAGAAGGTCATAACACACCATACTCAGTACACCCTGGTGGAGATAAACTATATAAGGACCTTAAGAAACATTTTTGGTGGCCTAAGATGAAGAAGGAAGTGGCTGAATTTGTAAGTAGATGTTTGAGTTGTCAAAATGTTAAGGCTGAGAGAAGCAAGCCTAAAGGACTGGTACAACTTTTAGATATTCCACAAGGGAAATGGGACTCCATATCTATGGACTTAGTTGGAGGGTTGCCATTAACTAAATCTGGGAAGAATAAAATATGGGTAATTGTGGACAGGCTTACTAAGACAGCGAGATTCATTGCTATGAATGAGATATGGAAAATGGACCAGTTGGCTAAAGCCTACATCAGTCAAGTAGTTAAGTATCATGGGGTACTACGTGATATAATTTCAGATCGAGATTCAAGGTTTCTATCACAATTTTGGAAAGCATTGCAAGCTGCTATTGGGACAAGGTTGAAATTGAGTACTGCTTTTCATCCGAAAACCGATGGGCAAACAGAACGGACTATTCAGACTTTGGAGGATATGCTGAGGGCATGTGTACTGGATTTTCAAGGATCATGGGATGAACATCTTGACTTGGTTGAGTTTTCGTATAACAATAGTTACCACGCAAGTATACAGATGGCACCATATGAAGCATTATATGGCCAGAAATGTAGGAGTCCATTGTGTTGGGAAGATATGGTAGACGTTGTGGTTTTGGGGCCTCAATACTTGCAGGACACAACAGAGAAAATCAAAATAATTCAGGAAAAGATGAAGACAGCCCAGGATCGACAGAAGTCTTATGCAGATCAGGGGCGGAAATTAATTGAGTTTCAAGAAAGCGAAAAGGTAAATTTGACTAACTTATTAAGAGATGAACAATTACAAAGTCTTTATATGCTTAGGACTAAGATGTGTTATTATGATAGGTGTTACTGAAAGTCTCACCTACGAAGGGAGTAATGAGATTCGGAAAGAAGGGGAAGCTAAGTCCTAGATTTATTGGACCATATGAAATTTTGGAAAGGATTAGGAAGGTAGCATATCGATTGGCTTTACCCACGAAGTTGGATAAGGTAACGACCTTATTGCTAATGAGTGGTTATTATTAGTATTCTTGGAAACACGACTTATCTAAGCCATTATAAACGTATTTTCCGACTAGGTACACGATGTATTCCACGTATCGCAATTGAAGAAGTACATGCATGATAACTCTCATGTAATTCGTCCAGAGGTAAGGAATTAAAAGGTTGTCTTGAGACCCTTGAATGGGTGATGGTGATACTAATAACACCATTGTTATGATTATAAGGTTGTGGAGATAGACGAGTCTCTAACTTACGAGGAAAATGTAACACCCCAGATTTTCGAAACTTTTGAAACTTATATAATAAAAATAGAATCTCATTAAATCCCAAATCACA